ATGTCAATATAACAGAAACATTATTAATATTATTTACAGATTAAAATATAAAATGCAGCAAAGATGGAATGGGTGATCCTGGCACAGTCAGGCTCATCATCAGCTCAGGGCCCTGGCCCCCGTCTACACGCAGCCCAGACAGCAAATGGGACTTCTCCCAGGATGTGCTGCCTAGTCAAACCTATCCAGAACTTTTCGGAGAATGTGACGACTCCCCAACACTGCACAGTCTTCTGCATTACCCAGATTGTCAGAAGGGCTGAATTCCTGGTAGCAAACCCGGGTACTCTCCCATGTGGCAGTCAACAGATTGGGAGGTACCAAACCTAAGGCACCGAGAACAATGGGGAGTCGGACAAGTTGGTACTTGGGATGCAAGCGTGACATTTCAAAAGCGAGGTCCGCATATGTGCCAGGTTTTTCGTCAATCTTGTCAATCACATCAGTGTCAAAGGGGACAGAAAATTCAATGATATAAATGATTTCATTGGATTTATCAAAAAGGACAAGATCAGGTCTGTTGGCCTGGATACGTCTAAGGCTGTAAATGGGCCTATTCCAAAGGATTTTGTATTTATCATTTTCCATGACGCCCTCTACATATTCCGGGTCGTACCATGGGTGGACCTCTGTATCATCCACTGACAATATATTGAACAGTCTCATTAAATTCATTAAGTAATCTACATTTCATATTTACATATGGATGCAAAATCACACATAGACGGTTTCGAGTGGGAAGTGACTCGTCCTGAGCAGCAAACAGAAAACATTCTGTTTCACTTTTCAGGCCAGACGACGTCATCCAAGCGAAGGATTCTGCAGGATTGCTGGTCTTCTCAACATACTGCACATAACACGATACAGTGGTCGTTCAGAACTGAAGAACTGAGTCTGGGCCGATTTGATATGGCACTTCGCTTGGTTGACACTCATGTCTGTACCGTTCAGCAATACAGAACCATCAACGAAATCAACACCGACAATTTAGATTATGTCTCACATCCTTGGCTCGTTTTAGAAAACTATGGAAGTTTTTACATGCTTCACGAGAGGATCATCAGACATATAAATGTGTGCAAAAGTAAACAAAACAATTCTATCACGAAGAGCCCCAACGTTAATCAAACCACGTCCTCCCATAATGATTGGTAAATATGACCGATTGAGGGAACAGCGAGGGTGGTGGGATCTATTGTCTGACATGATTCTTCGTGTGAGGGTGTCAATATACTGAATTTCTTGTTTCGTCCAATCAACAATACCAAAAGAATATGAAAGGATGGGTACAGCATAAGTATTTGTGGCTTTTAATTTATTGCAAGCGTTCAGCTCTGAACTCCAGATTTTCTTAAGTCTACATTTGTACTTTGCCCGTAGTTTTTCCTTGATATGGGCATCCTGGAGTGTGTACATAATCTGTAAGTACGTATAGGCCTGACCTTCCATAAGATGGACAATAACTCCTCCTCCAAGTAAGCTGACTGATCCTCCCTCTTCTATCTAGCCACGTTTCAAATGAAGAATGTTGCATTTGTCGAGTCCAAAAGACATGCCGATATCATTAGAAAATGACTCGACAAGGAGAATCTGTTTTTTTAGTGTGGATAATCCATTGGCAATAAGTTCAAGGTCATCCATGTAAAGGAGGTGAGTCAGGGGTGTTGGGAATCTGTGCTAAGGTGGTCCAGGATGATAACCTTCCTCTTTGCTAAGCAAAAAGCTTAAAGGATTTACTGACAAACAGAAAAGCAAAGGGCTAAAAGGATCGCCCTGAAATATTCCTCTTCTGATAGAAATGGCTTCCGAAGTCACCACCTGTCCCTGCGAGTACATCTCAAGTTGAGTTGACAAGCAATACATTAAATACTTGAGTAAAACAAGTACTCGCTCGGGGAAGTCAATACATTCAGTGGCCGCAAAATCCATTAGTGAGATACAGAATCATAAGCTTTCTTGTAGTCTATCCAACACATTGAGAGGTAAGACATCCTGTAAATATTTTGTTTTCAAACAAGTAATAGGGCGGACGTTTTGGGGATCAGTCAAATCACCTTTCTTTTGGGGAAGTATTGTTCGACCCTTGCACAACCAAGGCGAAACATCCACTGTTTCCACAAGAGAATTAAAACAATGAAGTAATGGTGTTTGGACACAAGGAACCAGTTTCCAAAACCGGTTTCGAATACCTTGAGGTCCTAGCGCCGTATTAGATTTGGACTTTTTAATCACATTTTTCAGGCAATCAGGTGTAATGAAACACAACAATGGCGATTTTATTTTTCCCGTACACAATCATTATATTCCTCTACTCATGGTTCCTCGAGGTTACAGATGCCAGGTATAGACCACAACTGTTTCCAAAACCTTTCACTGGAATCCACGATGAGTCTTTTCTCATCACTGTCATTGGATGTATTTAGTTGCCTGTAAAATTGTTTTCTTATTAAATTTAAACCATTTGTTTTGTCTGATGAAATTATGTTTCTTGTCCCACTTTCTTTTTCTTTTTGTCCAAACCTTATTATTAGTATCATTATGTTTACCGTGAAATTCTTTGGGTTATTTATAGCTTATAAGTAGATATACATCCACCTAAATCAATAAATACTTTTCAAAAAGAGAGTTGATGATACATATATGGCAACCGGCCTGTTTCACGATAAACATTGCAAGATAAAGTTGGATGTAGTACTCTACTACGCCCTTTAATCCATACTTGTGAAACACATGACGCTCTTGACTTCGACTAATTTGAAAAGAAACACTAAACGTACGAGTGAGTGACATTCTTTACTTTTTCGTCTCTTCATATTCTGAACGTTATTGAATTATATCGTCTGTTATGACAGTAATATACTTCACAATTCCTCGAGCTTCGCCCTAAATCAGATTAAACTGCCTTTCAATGAAAAAGTAGAAGCTGTGAGCGTTTTATCTGAAACTGACTTTTTGCAAAGACAAATCAAATAAGAAGTTGTTTTTTGTGTGTTTTTATAAGCTTCGAAACTGACAGTCCGAAAAAAATCAGGGGACTGTATATGCTGTGTTTTAGACGGACATTCATAGTTAAAGAAAAAAGCAATCATTACGAAATTCTTATGAAAAATTACAACATAACAATATATTGAGGTACCCTCCAGGCGATAACATGTGAACATATGTTGCAAGGGGATGGGTATAATATGATAGCACAACATACCGCAGATATGGCAATAATTGTGCCATCACATTGAGAAACGAGAATATTTAATCTATCTGATGTCACTGAAATTGTACATACATGTACACTGACTGAACCGTAGCTTATTTCCATCATATTTCCTGTCCAAAATGTATTTTCACGCTTTGAATAACAGAATACAATGATAGCCCATACAGTTCCCTATTTTGACTTGTATCATATGTTCCGTGTTTGTTTCAGGTTAACAGTTGACTTGCCTCTGCGTGTAGTTGTGACGGGTGCCACCGGTGGGGCAGGGTACGCTCACCTTTCAGTGATAACCTGGTACCACTATTGGATATTGACTCATAAACACATGTTCATGATGTAGTCGGTACAATAAACACTGCCAAAAGCAGAGATTTCATGTGTATATGCAAAGGGTTTTATCGCTTTTATTTGAATAGTATGAACCTGCATTTTTTACATATACTACTCAAAAGAAGTTAAAGAACACCCGATTCTTTCATATTACTATAGTTAATCTGTCTTGGCATGTGAGATTAACTATAGTAATATGAAAGAATTGGGTGTTCTTTAACTTCTTTTGAGTAGTATATATTCGATAGTATCAGTATTTACATTGCTTTAGTATTGTCGTGAAATTATACTTATGTACATACGATGGTTGCAAAATATGCATGAAGATTTATGTACTTTTATAGTAAATTGTTCAATGCCATTGGAGACTAAAAGCCAGAAAACAGAAAACGCTTTTTTTCGCCTCTTCCCGAGGCAAGAGCGTTAACTGACTTTAAAGTCCAGTTTCCACCCTTGCCGAACAAAGCTGGAATTCCTGGGCTTGATCGTAGCGCCACCAGTTTTGTTTGTTTATTTGTTGTTTAACGCCGCACTTAGCAATATTCCCGCTGTATGACGGCGGTCTGTAAAATAATCGAGTCTGGACCAGACAATCCAGTGATTGACATACGTTAGTTAACTCTCTTGCCTCGGGAAGATGTACATGTACGTGTATTTACTAGTTGTGAGACGGACGTTCATGCCGTCACTCTCCAATGTAACACATGCATGGCTGAATACCACGCTTTTTGGCCTTTGAAAAAGATCCTTACAAAGAAGAGGATTAGAACGCCATGGTCAGTCCAGAAGATTTGAAGGTTTCGAGCCCATTTCACATCATAGAGTTCTTGAAAGGCATTTAGAGGTGATACACATAAGGAAGAGAATTTATGAATGTCAATTTTTTTTATTATGAGGCACACAACGTTTCGGGGTACATACTTACTCCTTTATTCGCCTGAATCAGTGTCAAATAGCGATGGTCCCAGGTGTTTGCGAAACTGTGAGCGTATCCTGCCCCAAGAAACTAAACGCATGTTCACATTTGCTTTAAATTGTTACCTCATTTAACATTTCCACACAAACATCTCAGCTCTTTGAATAAACCATTTACGTACATCATTAAATAATACTTACGACCTCAATCTCAGTTTAGTCTACGTTGACTTTTCAGAGCCAATAATACATACGGCCTTCACAGCTTAATAATGTCATATGTCATGATTGCAGAGCCGTTTCAAAAGTACATACTAATACATAATTTATATGTGAGACTATTCTCGGCTCAATGCGTACATATAGCTCATCTTTTGCAGCTCGGTCTGGTTTCTAAATGGTATTAAGCAAAGGTGCGTCCATGTCAACCCTAATCTAGAAGCTGGCTCTAATGATCTTCAACATATTTCTTTAGGATTACACAACAGGATGACACCATGACATTTTAATATTTTAATATGACTTCTTTCATCTCTTGCAGCCACCACCTTTGGAAATGTCATCTGGTACCGACAGTCTGACAAGTATCTTAGGGTGGGTACAGATCAATGAGAAGAATTAACAAGAACGCTGACATTTTGTGTGTGGAGGATTCCAGGAATTAAATCTTTTTGCATATCTAGTTTTAGAATAAGGTGAAGTAATCTCCAGCTATTTGTGACAAAATTGGAAGTGGAGACGTTGCTACGACGTACCTGGACCTATGGCGGAAAGGTTTCAGAAGCATCCGTGACTTGGCTATCGTTTAAGAAAGTATAGACGTTGAGGGGTTTTGAATTTATGAAAATGGATTTCATGAAGAATTACAGTTTCCCCAATGGGTCATATGGGAATGTTAACTTTTCCTTCATGCCAAGGCAGAATTTTGTCAACCCTCTATCGGACACAAGTATGAGAATTCTCTTCATCGCAATCTACGCCTTTGTCTTCATATGCTGTTTCTTTGGTAAGTATTTTCCGGAATTCACCTTTATTTTGAGCCTGTGGTTTCGGTAAATGATATTAAAATATTGTGAAAGTTTCAAACATTTGATCCCGAATGAAACAATTCGATCAGCTTGGTTTCCGAGATTACCATGTGTCGATCAAAAAGGGTTCCGATATGATGTATAAGCATATTGGTTATAGTTGAGATTCTAGGTACATGGTTTCGTCTTTTAATGCTAGATATCTCTTAAATCAGTATCTTAAGCTTGATAACTTATTAAAATTGGATTTATCTTAGTCTTATCAAAATATTTTCCAAAGTAACGTTCGCCTCCGTGCTCTCGTGGTAAAGCGTCTGTCCCCGGAAAGCGGAAGGTCCGGGGTTTGATCCCCGGCCGCGTCATACCACAAGACGTTTAAAGATGGTACTTGTTGTTAAAGTAGTGGGCAGAAGAACTAACACGTGGCGGGGAGAGCCTTGAAGACGAACCCCGTCCAGGAAGGCCCGTCACGTCAGCAACACAAGAAATAATCCAGAGAATCTACGATATGGTGATGACTGAGCGTCATATTGCCCGTTCAGCAGGCATTTCCCAAGAGACAGTCATGTACATCCCACTATCGCAGAAACTTTGGCAATGAAAAAATAATAGTTCCTTCGGTTCCAAAGCTCCTAACATCTGACTAAAAACGCACCTGGCACAATATATCTCATGCTAAGCTAGTTGATACAGAATGGTTCTTGCAACGATTTTAGACTATGAGTGAAACCTGGGTACCTGGGTTCACTACTCTAAACATCACTGAAAACAGTGAAAGCATTTGACATCACCACCACGAAAGAAGGCAAACCATTCCGTGTTATGGCATTCTGAGGCATGCTGAGGGTCATGGTGGACTACCATCCAAAAGATCAGACAAATCAAGCAGCATTTTATGCTGTACTTTTGAAGCACTTACGGGATGAAATTTAAACATTAATACAGGTGGAAATCAGTGAAAAGGTATGCTCTCCAACCAGGACAAGTCACCAGTGCTCACTCACATCAGTGTTGCATGGCTACTATTCACGAGTGTTTCTTTGAACCCCTTCAGCCACCTGATCTGGCTCCGTCATACTTCCATCTGTTCCTTAACATAAAGAAAGCTCGAGCCCATTTCCACTCCAAAGATGAGGGCATAGCAGCTGTGGAGAACCTATGGGACAGCCAGGTGAAGGACTTCTACAAAACTTAGATAAACTCCCCCCAACACCATTGGCAAAAGTGTATCAATGTGGAAGGGGATTGATGTTGAAATCAGTGTCTTTAAGGGGGCACGGGTAGCCCAGTCGTCTAAGGCGCCGCGATTCGCTGTGTGGAGTTCGTCCCTTAGGCACGCCAGAAACCTATGATTGTGGGTTCGAATCCCGTTTCGCCCCGATTATGTTTCTATGGTCAGCACCATACCCGTGCTCGTGGGTTTCATCGAAGTGGTAAACGTCCGAGACCTGCATCACTTCGGGCTTTCCTCCCACATTAAGCTGACACGCATTGATATAACTGGAATACTGTTAAAAGCGGCGTTAAACCCAACTCACTCACTCACTAATATCTTTAAGTCAAATCTTTGCACGTAAGGCTCCGAACCTCTCGTATATACATGTGGGGCCATAAGACGTTGCCTCAGTGGGGTGGCCAATCTAGTGCACGACCACATGCTGGTCATTTCCAATATTTATTTAGCTGTAGATCTTTTAAAGAACATATGTTATCATATATACCACAAGGACACCATGTAAACCTATATCACAACTATATGCAAGGGTAGTAAAGAAACTGTCACGTATTATTGCCCTGTAACATTTATATTGTGTTGTTGTTGTTGTTTAACACCGCAGCCAGCTTTATGACGGCGGTCTGTAAATAATCGAGTCTGGACCAGACAATCCAGTGATTGATACCACGAACATCGATCTACGCAATTGGGATACAATGACATGCATCAACCAAGTCAGCGAGCCTGACCACCCGATCCCGTTAGTCGCCTCTTACGACAAGCATAGTCGCCTTTTACGTTGTAGTATACAGTGTGCAGTACAAGCATGGTCGCCATTTACGCTGTAGTATACAGTATGCAGTACGACAAGCATAGTCGCCGTTTACGCTGTAGTATACAGTGTGCAGTACGACAAGCATAGTCGCCATTTACGTTGTAGTATACAGTGTGCAGTACGACAAGCATAGTCGCCGTTTACGCTGTAGTATACAGTGTGCAGTACGACAAGTATAGTCGACATTTACGTTGTAGTATACAGTGTGCAGTACAAGCATAGTCGCCTTTTACGTTGTAGTATACAGTGTGCAGTACAAGCATAGTCGCCATTTACGCTGTAGTATACAGTGTGCAGTACGACAAGCATAGTCGCCATTTACGTTGTAGTATACAGTGTGCAGTACGACAAGCATAGTCGCCATTTACGCTGTAGTATACAGTGTGCAGTACAAGCATAGTCGCCATTTACGCTGTAGTATACAGTGTGCAGTACAAGCATAGTCGCCGTTTACGTTGTAGTATACAGTATACAGTACGACAAGCATAGTCGCCATTTACGCTGTAGTATACAGTGTGCAGTACGACAAGCATAGTCGCCATTTACGTTGTAGTATACAGTGTGCAGTACGACAAGCATAGTCGACATTTACGCTGTAGTATACAGTGTGCAGTACGACAAGCATAGTCGCCATTTACGCTGTAGTATACAGTGTGCAGTACGACAAGCATAGTCGCCATTTACGCTGTAGTATACAGTGTGCAGTACGACAAGCATAGTCGCCGTTTACGCTGTAGTATACAGTGTGCAGTACAAGCATAGTCGCCATTTACGTTGTAGTATACAGTATACAGTACGACAAGCATAGTCGCCATTTACGCTGTAGTATACAGTGTGCAGTACGACAAGCATAGTCGCCATTTACGTTGTAGTATACAGTGTGCAGTACGACAAGCATAGTCGCCATTTACGTTGTAGTATACAGTGTGCAGTACAAGTATAGTCGCCGTTTACGCTGTAGTATACAGTGTGCAGTACGACAAGCATAGTCGCCATTTACGCTGTAGTATACAGTGTGCAGTACAAGCATAGTCGCCATTTACGCTGTAGTATACAGTGTGCAGTACGACAAGCATAGTCGCCATTTACGCTGTAGTATACAGTGTGCAGTACAAGCATAGTCGCCATTTACGCTGTAGTATACAGTGTTCAGTACAAGCATAATCGCCATTTACGCTGTAGTATACAGTGTGCAGTACAAGCATAGTTGCCATTTACGCTGTAGTATACAGTGTGCAGTACGACAAGCACAGTCGCCGTTTACGTTGTAGTATACAGTGTGCAGTACGACAAGCATAGTCGCCATTTACGCTGTAGTATACAGTGTGCAGTACGACAAGCATAGTCGCCTTTTACGTTGTAGTATACAGTGTGCAGTACAAGCATAGTCGCCATTTACGCTGTAGTATACAGTTAGCAGTACGACTAGCATAGTCGCCATTTACGCTGTAGTATACAGTGTGCAGTACAAGCATAGTCGCCATTTACGCTGTAGTATACAGTGTGCAGTACGACAAGCATAGTCGCCATTTACGCTGTAGTATACAGTGTGCAGTGAGAAAATACACATGCTGTCACTGGGTTAGCCCTTAGAAGATGATTATATCAGCATATTCTCGTTTTCATACCAACCCCTAAGATAGTCCTTCTGACAGCCGAGCCACTTGGTGTGTCCTCATAACTTCAATTATGACGCGTGTTGACAACACACTGGCGTTATCTTTCCAAATCATATTACCGATGTAATCTAAGCTGGATATTTTACCACTAACAAATCACGAAGTGATATTACTCTGCAATAACAGTAATGAACCTGTCACTTGGTACATGAAGTAATAGCCATGGTGACACATAAACAGTTACATTTTAGATGGGCTTGATATCAACCATGTTATAAATATCAATGCACGGACAGGGGCTGTAACATCGGCATGAGATATATATTTCAGTACTGACGTTTCTGCAGGTTACTTTATTTCCCATTTATAACAAATGTGTTTAAGACCCACACTGACTACAAATAGCCCGCAAGGTGTTTCAGTTTTTAAACAATGACGGACAACGTAAACACAATCGAATGTCGAGAGAAGCTTCTTGATATCCGTACGTCAACAAAGACCGTCAAATTTCCTATCAACTTGAATGACAAACCTTGGATACCACAAATGGTACCATCACCCGTCAATACAGTGTCTGTAGTTTTGTCATACAAAATCGAATTGGTCGTGTTTGATCGTCTTCATCAATCACAGTGGGCGGAGCGTATTTAGAGTTGGGCTATAAATAGCAAAGAGCATGGCCATGTGGACTATCCTACTCCGTGTGCGAAATACGCATCAGTCGGAAAGCGCACGTTAAATCTCCAAAGTAAGTAAGTAAGTAAGTAAGTAAGCCATGTGGACAAGTGACATATTTCATGCATTTGTGATCAAATTGCACATTCGTGACCAACTCGTGTTATTCCGGGACAAGCCGAATAGCGACTCGTGCCCCTCTCATGGCCATTTTTGCGACCGGGTTCCGTCTTAGCGCAAACGGACATACCTGAAACTCGTTGCGTAATGGTTCACATATATTTCCTCATATATTATATATATTTCAGATGCAATTTCGGGACGAGCGGAATTATACAGTATGATTGAACACATATAACTGTGTCTTGGGTATATTTTTAGATGCAAGACATGTAAAATCAAAACTTATTTCTGAGGGATTCTTTGGTGAAGAACTTGAAATCATACGCGCATTCTGATTGGTTTGTCGTGTTTTTGCACATAACATTCATCGATAGGGGGACGAGTCTTCTTCCAGGTTACGGAAAGAGGCGAGTGGTGACGAATGCAAATTGCATTGTGATGTTGATATTTACGGATGAACAGCAGCACAACAACAGTTGCGGTTAATATGACAGTAACGATACATAAATA